ATTCCACTGTCTGGATGATTGCTTTAAGCCATAAATAGATCGTTGAAGCTTGCAAACTTTACGCTCCTGACTTACTGCCACAAAGCCTTCTGGTTGATCCATATAGATCTCTTCATCCAATTCTCCATTGAGAAATGCAGTCTTAACATGCATCTGATATAACTCTAAGTCCAACTGAGCTACTATGGCCAAGATTAGGCGAATAGAGGCAAACCTTACAACTGGTGAAAAAGTTTCCTCATAGTCCACACCCTCTCGTTGGGTGTAACCTTTCGCCACTAGGCGAGCCTTATACCTTTCTATGGAACCATCCGCTTTGCGCTTGATTTTGAGAACCCATTTGTTCCCAATAGTCTTGCGCCCTGGCGGCAAATCAACCAAGTCCCAGACATGATTTTTCTTCATAGACTCTATTTCTTCATCCATTGCAGTACTCCATTCTTTACTAGCAGGAGATGAGAGAGCTTCTTTGAGATTCTTAGGCTCCATCTCATTACTCGGAGGAATCATGAATGCCTCCCCTTCAATCTCAAAACGACAACAGGGTATAGCTCCACGTTTGCTTCTACGTAGTTGAGAATCCTGAGAATCCTCATCCATTGGATCTAATCCATGGGCAAGTAGATCGCTCTCACTGTCCCTAGGAGCTTGAGGGATTATCTCCTCATTCTCTACTAGGCTACTAGGTGCGCCTTCAAATAGATCCTCCATCTCATAGAGTTCTACTTCTCTAGTTACCTCACATCTGCTAGGGAAATCCTCCTCTAGGAAATCCACATCTCGTGACTCAATTTCACTCACACTTCCATCCGGATGCTCCCTAACAAACATATAGCCCTTAGAATGCTCACTATAGCGAATGAAGATACACTTCTTTCCTCTAGGGCCCAACTTCCCAAACTTATGAGAAGCGTTGTGTATGTAAGCTGCCAAACCCCAAGGTCGCAAATTGCCCAAATCAGGCTTTTTGCCAGTCCACATCCCATGTGGGGTGGAAGGAACTGATTTGGAGGGCACACGATTAAGGACGTAGTCAGCAGTCAACAAAGCATCTCCCTAATAAGAAATGGGAAGATTAGCTTGCGCCATCATTGATCTAACCATGTCAAGCAATGTGCGATTCCATCTCTCCGCTACACCATTTTGTTGCGGAGTCCTAGGAATTGTCAATTGCCTGATAACTCATTTTTCCTCACAGAGCACTTTAAATTGCTCAAATAGATACTCACGTCCTCGGTCAGTCCTTAGAGCCTTAATGCTCTTGCCTAATTGATTCTTAACCTCATTAACATACCGTCTAAAGTAATCCAATGCTTCTGACTTGTGAGAAATCAAATAGACATGACCAAAACGCGTGCAATCATCTATAAATGTGATGAAATAAGGGGCTCCATGCCTTGCCCTCACATTCATTGGTCCACATATATCAGAATGAATAAGTTGCAATGGGATAGATGCCCTTATGGCTTTCCCAAATGGTTTCCTTGTTGCCTTTCCAGCAAGACAGTGTTCACAAGTAGGCAAAGTGACTTTAGCGAGTGGGCCTAAAAGACCTTCTCTAGCCAATCTAGTCATCCTGTCTTACCTTATGTGGCCTAATCTAGCATGCCATCTCATAGAATCATTATCACAAAAAGATGCAATATTAGAAACAGAGCCATTGGCATTTTTATTAAGACTAGAATCATCCACATCCAAAACTAAAAAACCATCTGAAAGATAACCAAAACCATAAAAAATTGTTCCCAAATAAATGCTAACACCATTATTCTCAAAACAAAAGCTAAAACCAAGGCTCATCATGCTAATAACTGAAACTAAGTTTCGCCGAATATCTGGAGCATAAAGAACATCATGAAGATACAAGGTGCACCCTTGTCGCATTTCCAACTTTTATGTGCCAATGCCAAGCACCTCCACACTGGACTCGTTCCCTATGTAAACTTTTCTGCTCCCAGCAGGTACTCGACGATACTCAACGAATCCTACTATGTCCCTCGCGATGTGGTCTGTTGCTCCGGAGTCTACAACCCAAAAATGAAGAGAATGAGCAATTAATGCTTGACTAGGCACAAAGCATTGAATGCGAAAAATTAAGTAAGGGAGTACCTTCTTCTGCTTAGGGCAATCCCGAGCAAAGTGTCCTTCTTTGTTACAGTTAAAGCATGTCAATTTAGCCTTTACCTTCTTATCACCTCTCTTGCCCTTACGCTTGAAATTTCTAGTGCCAATGGGCTTAGGCGCAGCTGCTGCTTGCTTCTTAGGGGCACCTTTTGCTTTGCCATGTTTGAACTGAGAAGTCCTACGTGAGCTTGACTCAACCACCATAGCAGAACCATCAGACTGAGCCGCCTCAAGGCGCTCAGCCTCTAGCTCCAAATGACACGATATGTCTTCGAATGTTTTCACACTCTCATTATGCATCATGTTCCGCTACATCTGCTCCCAAGAATTTGGCAGAGAGCGAATCACAGCTTGTACTTGCTGCTCTTGAGTCAAATTGTGCCCAACAGCCGCAAGCTCACGTATCATGGCTGACATGACCCTCAAATGCTACTTCATCGAGTGATGCGCCCTTTTCTGATATGAGTCAAACTTCATAGTCAGCCCACGTAGCTTTGCCAAAGAGGTAATAACAAGCTTTTGCTTGAGAGCTTCCCACATCTCAAATGCAGTCGGGCAATGCTCAAACTCACTAATCAAGTCGTTGTGCATGCTGCTCAACATAGTAAAGCACGCACACCAATCTTTGTTACGCCAAGTCTGAAAGGCTTTAAGATCACGACGATGTTGAGCTGTATTGCCCTGCTCTGGCTCAACCATCACTTGTTCAAGTGTGTTCAACACTTCTTGCTCATTGAGGAGGTATTGGATCTTACGGCGCCGTATGTCATATTTGTCGCCATCCAATTTCTCTCCCTTAGTTAAGTCTGCCACCACTGTCTTAGCAGCCGTTTCTACATACAGAGTAAACAAATGCGCAGGGGATATTAATGATAGCAACACAAAAAAAATTATTTTACAGAAAAAGAATCGAAATTAAATAATAATAATTTTACACATGTCTCAAGATCGAAAATTTGCTATGCTCGTAATCATCTCTTGCGCATCTAGTGATAATTATCAAAATTTAAATTATTTCCATGCGTAAAAAATAATCAATCAATCTCCCACTACTTATGGCATATACAAAGCATGATAAATTCCATACAATAGCATCTTAATGTAAATTTACAAACAACTCATGCTATATTCATTTAACAATGGAATTCAAATAAATAAATAAATAGCTAATCATGCTTCTTTAATTGCAACATATTACAAACCCTAAAAAAATATGCTGTATTCAATATTCAGATTATGCCATAATAAAATGTACATCATTCTGAAATTTTCTGGAATTTTTCTGAAATTTTCTGGAATTCTAAATAACTAATAAACACACATAAAATTAGAAATAAAAAAAATTCCAAAATCTGATAAACTGAAAAAATTATACCAGTAAATAGTAAAACATTTCAGAAGTCTACAATAAAAAATTCAACCCCAGAAAATTATTTATGCATTACCAGAAGCATTTTAAAGAATAAATAATGAATTATTATCACAGAAAAAATACTTTTTATTTTCATAAAATTTTCAAAATTTTACAGAATATAGAAAATTTAATTCTGAGTCTAACAGTACCAACCATGCATAAAACAAATCTATAACAAATTAATTATGACCATTTAATGCGATCAAAATTAAAAACTAAACAAACAGTGCCTTATGCAACAGCAGCCAAGCCAGCGGAGGAAAACGGCGTGGCTCAGTGCACGGCTCAGAACGTGGCTCCGCGAGCGGCTTAGAACGCGGCTCAGCGTGCAGCTCAGCGCACGGCGCGCGTGCATGGCGCGGACAGCGCGCGCATAGAAAGCGCCTTTGATGCGCGCGTGATGGTGCGTGGAAGCGCGTCTGGCTCGTGGCAGTGCGTTGAAGCGCATGTAAGCTGCTCACGGCGTCAGGTGGCACGTGCGGACCACGCGCCGCCTTCCAGGGTGTTTTTTGGTCTAATTTCGGTACTTTCAGACTCCATTTTTCAAAATAAAATCATTTATGGTGTTTAAAATGACATTAATGAACATAAAAATAGGTATTTTATGCTCTTAATCTAATGAGAGTAGACATCTTCCTCCTTTATAAACATTCATGTATACAATGTGTACATATATATATATATATATATATAAATATACACATGATTAAAGAAAACACAAAAATACCCATTCATGCTCTGATGCCAATGTAAATCATAGTATAACGCAGCGGATGAAAAATTATGGCCATACCTTTTCAGCAGAGTCTGAATTGAAGGATCTCGTGGGTAAATCACGTGCTTCCTTAATTTGATCAATCAACCCAGCAATGGAGTGATATTACAAAATGAATATCACCCGCACAAGTCACAGTGCAAAATGGCTTGATCGTTGTATTTTCGGAGAGAGTCAGTATATGGGCAAAACATACAACATACGTTGTTTTTCTGATTAACCATATCCCATATCATATCAGATATATAAGATATCTATCTCATCTATCCATATCAGTTATATCAGATATATAAGATATCTATATCATCTATCCATATCAGTTGATATGATAGATATATATATATATATATATTCTGAGTGGTTATCCAAATAGGTTTTGAATTCAAATTCAAACTTATTTGGATAAGGTTCAAAAGGTCAAAGGGTCATGCCACATGGGCGCCCAATTTCTAACAACAGCGTAAGAGAAACAATCATTATAAAGAAAGGATTAAAAAATAGAAAGACACATACATAAGTTTTTCTACCCAACTTAACATCTTTAATGGTTGTTCACTATTTGGTCACACATTACAAAAGCCATCGTTAATATTATTTAATTATCAGCATTTATTCATATAGTTGACCTCTTGATTAGGACATAAGATTTAGTTTGATTTGATATGGTTACGTATATCTTTATGGCAGATGAATATGATACTCAATGAAACACTACGACTTTACCCTCCAATAGTGATGTTGATGAGGAAAGCAACAAAAAATGTGAGGCTAGGCGGGCTTAATGTTCCAGTTGACACCCAACTCTACCTAGCCTTGACTGCTGTTTATCATGAAACTAAGATATGGGGAATAGATGCCAATGAGTTCAATCCAATGAGATTCACTGCGGTTCAAAAGCAACTCGATGCATTCGTTCCATTTGGTTTGGGTGCCAGAATTTGTGTAGGCCAAAATTTGGCTATGGTGGAAGCCAAAATTGTTTTAGCTATGATTGTAAGACGATATTCATTCTCAGTGTCGCCTTCATATGCTCATGCCCCATTTCAGTGCATAACTTTGCAACCTCAACATGGTGCACACATTCTCTTTAAGAACATTGCAAGTTGAATTTTTGTTTGAAAAAACGTTTGGTGTCTTTGTTATCTGGATATTGTCAAATTTCTTCATCTTGTATGTAATGACTGGGCAAAGTTTATGGGTATTGTATTGTAAGAAGTTATGGGTCGGAAAAAAGCTTATGGGTATTGTATTGTAAGAAGTTATGGGCAAAGTTTATGGGTATTGTATTGTAAGAAGTTATCTGGATAATTATATTCTTTAATGACTGGGCAAAGTATTGTATTATGGGTCCCGAATATCATAAATAACTATAATAAATGACCCTAAGAAGTTATATTACTTCAACAAGAACCATGGTCGGAAAAAATAAAATTAGGCAATTGATTGTCTTGATTTGTGTACACTAGTACCCGATTCAATTTGAGATTTTTGAGAGATACTCTCCAGGCTCTGTATATTATATTCATGTGTTTAAATTATATGTTTTATTATTTTATTTGTGTATGTTCGTGCCTAAATGCATAGTGTAAATAAAATAAGTGAACAAAAAAGCAAAATAAAAAAGTTAAGGGATGAAAATAAAAAATCGGAGAAAATAAAAAAATAAGAGGAGGAAGGTGGACAGGAGAGAGGAAGAGAGAAAGAAGGTGGGCGAGAGAGAGAGAGAGAGAGAGAATGCATGAGTGAACAAAAAAAAGGAGAAAAGAAGGTGGGTGAGTGAGAATTAAAGAAATCTTGACCTTATGATGAATTTGGGAATTAATCTCAGCCATTGATACAAAATATATCTTAGACATTTGGCACATTTTCAAAACAGACTTGCTTTATTATACAGATAATTATTCTGGAGAATTCTAAAATTAAATATACATAAAATGCTTTGGAACTCACATCTATGAAAAGATTGGTGATTTTTCCTAGATCGTACTTGATTTTTTGATGAATTTATTTTTGTTGTTTGTAGTTAATTGTTTGGTTGTTTATTTGGCCCTTTAAGATTTTCTTGATTTTATTTTAATCTTATATGTTGTTTGTTTTGTTTTAATATAATTGCTTTTCTTATTCCTCAAAAAAGAAAAAAAAAAAAAAGGCTTTGGAACCATATTATTCATGCATGGTAAATTGGAGAACTTTTGGAGGGAAATTTGAATTGCTTTTATAACACTTTTTGAGCAAAATGACACTTCCCCATAGGATCAGATTCATAACGTCCACCCCCAAGTTCTTCATTTTCTAAAGTAAAGCTGTATTCACCAATTACCCTGCTCACTAACATACCAACAAATGATGTGGCATTGCCACTTCAGACCTACAAGACCTACCCAATATACAAAGACCCAAACAAATCCTTCTATGTCTCTCTCTCTCTCTCTCTCTCTGAGAACTACTCTGTTCAATCACATCTCTGTTCAACCTCTCATTCATCTCCATCGGAAGTATTCTCCCTCTGACGGATCTCTCATATCCATTTCATCTCATGAAGTACAGAGACGAACGAGAATGACTAAAGAAAAACTCGTATTTCTCAATTTTCACAACTTGGCTAACGAGTTTCTAAAAAAATTTTAGAAAACGAATTTGAAAACTCAACCAAACAGAGTGAATTAAAAAGTTTTTTTTAACATTTGTCAAATGCTTCTAAAAATGTTGTCCTTAATTTTAATTTATATGACATTTTTTTTTCTTGTTTGTTTCATCATTCATGTTGTATTATTGTTAAGCATCAGGCACAATAAAATTTGATAAGAACAAATTTTTGCCTCAAAAAAGGGTTGGATCTTGCACTCCTACTTCAAATACATTCTACTGTAGGTAACAATTATAGTGCAGAGTGCACATGGGCAACTTCAATGGATAACCCCATTCAAACTACATGAAATGTATTTGATCATATATATTTTTAAGATTCAAGTGACTGAAATTTGTATCATCACTTATGCTGCTTACATGTAGTTTGATAGATTCAAGTGTTGTTAATGGCTATTAATTTTCATATTCACTGGTTAATTTAATTTAATTTTAATTTTAATTTTTTTGTTTTTTATTTTTTATTTTTGGGTGGGGTGGCCAAACGGTGATATTGCAATTTGGAAGTTGAAGATTATAGCTGCTCTTGACAGAAATAATCACAGCATAGCTGCTGTTGATAACCAAATTATGGAACAAGAGATTGAAGTTGAAGATAGGCCATTGTTTTGTATTAGCTTTGAGTTTATTTTTGTATGGGATAGAGACCTATCTTTTTGTAACAAGATTCTAATACTAATAATATGTAAGCTTTTAAGGCATTTAATTTGAATATTTATTTAGTTTTGTAGGCATATTAAATTTGATAAGAACAAATTTTTGCCTCAAAAAAGGGTTGGATCTTGCACTCCTACTTCAAATACATTCTACTGTAGGTAACAATTATAGTGCAGAGTGCACATGGGCAACTTCAATGGATAACCCCATTCAAACTACATGAAATGTATTTGATCATAAATATTTCTAAGATTCAAGTGACTGAAATTTGTTTCATCACTTATTATACTATGTAAGCCTTTAACGCATTTAATTTGAATAATTATTTAGTTTTGTATTACCTCATAACATGCTTTGAAAATAGGAAATGTGTAATGCATATGACTTTTTCCGTACAAATCTCAAATGAATTTATTGTCATTATTATAATTGTTGTTGCATCGCTGTAATCATTGACTTCCATTTATATCATTCAATTGGGGTTCTTTTTTGAGAAAATTAATCAAAGATTCCTCTCTTATTTTTAATAATGGAAGGGATTTATAATATTATTTTATGATGTTTACGGTCTTTCGTCCATGCTCATATATCTCACCCACCCAAAATGAGTCCACTGAAAACTCTAAGTACCTGCATGAGACGAACTTCAAATACAGGTTGAGCAACAGGGTCTTCTGCGAGAAGAAGTACTCTCCTGTGCATGAGCACATCTTCAGCCCTTTCCACATTCACATCCAATGCATATCTACATATCACGAATCCAACTTGTCACCCAAATGCAGAGGATTATGATTAAATCAATTTGAAATAAACATGCGTGATTTGATTTGAAAGCATCGAAATCGTGAACACGATAAGGTAATCCAGATATTTTAATTTTGTGGTCTTTTTTAGGGAAACCAAATAGGAGGGAATTAGGAGGAATGAATTTCTGTCTTCCATCGCCATTAAAATCAAAGAAAATCAAATCAAAGAAAGTCAAATCAAATTGAAATCAGAAAAAATTGGAGTTTGGATTTGTACTTTTCAAGGAATTGGATTTGAACTTAGAGAAATTTCAATTTTCTCTAGATCGAATTTTCTCTGGATCGATATTGAGAAACCTTAGATATTATGAAAATATTATATGTCCTTTATGCTATAAAATCTTAATACCAGGGACTAAAAAAAAATATCCCCACACCCCCCCTCCCTTTTTTTTTAGAAATGGACAATTAATTTGAGTTTTTTTATTTTTTATTTTTGATGGAACAATTAATATGAGTTTAAATATAGTAGTTCGGGTTTACAAAATGTAGAACTTTACATTAACTCAAAAAACAAACGGTAGTGCTACATGTATCAATTAGTATATCAATTAATGTACCAATATGTGTTATGACATTATTCAAAAAGACTGCTTGGTATTATTTGCCAAAATTCAATAATGTTAAGATGATTAATTTATTTATCATGCTTAATTTATTATTTCATATGTCATAATTTTATTGATTTAATAAATTTCACTACTTAAAACAATAAAACATAAGACAGTGAATAAAATATAATAAATGAATAAAATTATTATCTTAACATTATTAATTTTAAAAAATCGAAAGATAAATATCACCATCAAAGTTGGTTTCATCAAAATAGTTTATGAGAAAATAAACATATTTTTTCTATTTGACTCATATATGATATTTTAATAAAACGTAATAGATTACTATTATATCACTACAAGAAAAGGAGGCAAAAAAAGACGGAAGCTTTCGCGACGGCCTGTTTCCCGTCGCAAAAGACGATCTTTTTGCGACGGCAGATTAACCCGTCGCTAAAAAAGGTATTTAGCGACGGCAGTTTTACCGTCGACAATAAACTGTACGGGGAGTGTCATTATATGGGATTATTAGCGACGGCATTGCCTACCGTCGCAAAAAAACATTGTTTTGGAGACGGCAGAATGTTTCTGTCGCAAATAGTTAGTCATTTGAGACGGCAAAAATGTCCGTCGCAAAAAAATATCAAAAACGAGCCGGTTTAGCAATACGTAATTACCATTTGCGACGGTTTAAAATGTACCGTCGCAAAAAAAAATAATGACAAAACTTTTGCCCCGCTCTCCCCAATTTTGGCGCTCGGTGATTTCGATAGAAATCCTTAATTCTTCGAAATACCTAAATCTATGAAGTCCCTCAAACTTTGAATCATTTGGATCAAAATCCCTAAATCTTCGACTTCGCCTATCAGCCGTCGCCAGCCATCTTCAACCCAGCTTTCAGAGCTTCTTCTCCGGCGAAGTTCTTCGGCTTCGGCTTCGGCTTCGGCTTTCAGCCATCCTCTCTCTGCATGCTCAAAACCGCAGTTCTTGGAAGCTTCGAAAATCGCAACAATGGTGCTTCTGCTGACTCTTCTCTGAGGACTCAAATTCAACTTCAACTTCGTTCAACTTCACTTTGTTCAGGTATCTATTCACATTCTCAAAATAGAGGTTGAACTCATTTTTTTTGATTACCTGTGTTTTATATCATATCATCATTCTCAAAATAGAAGATGAAGTTCACTGTATATTAACCTTGTTGTAGACAAAAGTATAGACGTTGAACTCAATTTTTTTTTATTACCTCTGTTCACATTCTCTCTCACATACAGGAGAGAGAGAGAGAGAGAGAGAGAGAGAGAGGTTGAGATTTATATGAAAGGGGCCAGTAGCATCTGTCATTTTTCTTTCCCTTTCCATTTTCTCTGTTTCATTCAGATTGTGTTCCACTACTCATATGGTTGAAAGTGGCACTTTTGTTATACAAATATTATGGATGACCAACAAATTATCTCACTTCCAAGTATATAATGAAAAGGTTTTCTAATCTGATATTTGTTGACAGCTAAATAGCCAGAGAGAAACCCTTATATATGTATGCGTGCACAAAATCTTTCTGCCAGAAAAAATTTAAAAAATATCATATAATATATTAAAAATTTTAAAATAATTTAAAATTATAAAGGCTTGTACCCTTAAAAATACTTTTACACTTCTAAAGTAATAATTATGAAATTGTCCGTGATTATATATAGCAATGCTACAGACCCCAGTGACCCCAGTGCCACGTGTCGGCCTGGGGTTGGCTGAAAACTCAAAAAAAAAAAACAAAAAAAAAACTGTTTTTTTAGACCAATG